CACACAGCTCCTGTAATCCCCGCCCAAGGTCTTCCATGCTGACTTGGTCTCCCTCTAATTGTCCCTTTTCTGCCCCAGGCTAGCCTTTCTCTCTCTCCACTTTCCCTTGCACACAGCCCCGCTTCTCGGTCAAGTGTCTGGCTGCTTCCTGGCTTGGTGGGAGGGTCAGGTCGGGCGTCAGATCCCTCCACTTACCTTCTGACTAGCTGTGACCTTGCACAGCTTTCTTAACCTGTCTGCGCTTTGGTGTCTCTGTCAGCTAAATAGAAACGCTGCCGTGTTACAAGGTGACGGTCGGAATTCAGGAGGAAACTGTTACGGGGTGCTAGGGTCGGAATTCAGGAGGGAACTGTTACGGGGTGCTAGGGTCGGAATTAAGGAGGGAACTGTTACGGGGCGCTAGGTTTTGGCCGGGAAACTTAGCTCTCTACTCTGCTAGCCTAGTCCTCTCTGGAAAAAAAAGACAAAAGCCAGCAAACACACTGTTGAGCTGGGCCTCTGACCTCAAGCCTCCAGGGGGACATCCAATGGGTTAGTTTAAGCCATGTGGAGATTCCCTTCCTCGTGCTTGTATCCAGGCAGACGGCTCCTTCCTCCCGAATCCTCCTCACTCAGGACTGACTGTGTAGCTCCAAAGGCCAGCGAAGGCCGTTAGAGTCCTCAGCCAGCGAGGAGAGCGCGGCTCCTCACCGGTGCCTTTCCGTAAAAGGTCCCGTCACAGAAAGCAAAGTCCCCGGCTGTGCCCCTGTCCCTGTCACCAACAGTGATAAGCTCTTCCTCATCAGTCCTGAGGCAGATTTGGAGGTGAGACAAGAAGGGAATGAGAGGTGTCCCCACTTGAAGGTGTGTCTGGAGGCACTTAGTGTAGAACCTCGATAAAGGTTTGCTCCTCGGCCCTCTCCCATCGAGCCTCTGGAGAGCCTGCCCAGGCCCAGGCCGCCTCTGTGGGACGTAAAGGATACTTTCCAGTCAATCACGTGACCCCTTGCTGTACCCGAGGGGTGTGTGTGCGTGTGCATGCGTGCATATGGTGTGTGTGTGTGTGTGTGTATTTGTGTGTGTGTGTGTGTGTGTGTGTGTGTGTTTCTGAGACACGGTCTCACCATGTAGCCTTAAATGACCAAAATCTTAGCAAAATCCACCTGCCTCTGCCTCCTGTGTGTTGGGATGAAAAGCATGTGTGCCACCATGTCCAGTTTACCCCCTTTTGAAAGAATTATGAGAGGGCTGAGGTGTAGCTCAGTAGTAGGGTGCTGACAGAGCATGTGCAAGGCTCTAGGTTCAATCCCCACCACAACAAAACCAAACCAAACAAAAAGACAAAAGGTTTTATGTTTTTGTTTTTGTTTTTTTTTTTTTTTTTGAGTCCTCGTTACATGAAATGTCTCAGACACCCAGAAAAATAATGTTAGAATAATACAATGAAGGGCTAGTGGTAGAGCTGAATTGATAGAGTGTTTACCTGGTGTGCATAAATTTGACCCCAGGACCACATATAACTAGGCATGGTGGCTCATGCCTGAAATCCTTGCACTCAGGAGATGAAGGCAGAAGAATCACAAGTTCAAGGTCACTTTCAGCCACAAATCAAGGTTGAGTCTGATTCATGAGACCATGTCTCAAAATTAATAAAATAATGTAATGGGCACTATGCACTGTCTTCCTAATGTATAAAATAAAGCATGGTGGTGTTGGAGAATGGCTCAGTGGTTAAGAGCCCTGGCTGTTCTTCCAGAGGACCCGGGTTCAATTCCCAGCACCCACATGGCAGCTCACAACTGTCTGTAACCCCAGTCCTAGGGCATCCCATGCCCTGTTCTGGCCTCCATGGGCACCAGACACACAAACACCTATATATGAAAAGAAATAAAGCTGGAGCTGCAGGAGAGCTTCTAGTTGCTGCCCGCCCACTGCTCCTCCCCAGCACCCCATCCTTGTTTGGATGTTGGCATTTAGTGTTTCTTTGTCTTGATTTTTATTTTTGTTACATACTTACATATCCATTAAACATAGACCAATTTTTCTTCATGGGTAATGAATGCCTTTAATCCCAGTACTGGGTTTGGGGGAGCAGAGGCAGGCTGATCTCTGAGTTTTAGGCCAGCCAGGGCTTTAGACTTTATCTCAGAAAAAAAAAAAATGTATGTATCTGTGTGTGTGTTTGTGTGTGTGTATGTTCTTTAAAATGATATTTTGCATATATACTTGAGCTTTATCTGTGTTGAGCTATACGTCATTGATGGGTTTTTGTTGTTTGCCACATAGTAGTTCGTGTTCCACGTGTCCTTTTCCTTTGGTGGATGGTTCAGCTGCTTCTAGCATTTTGCACTTGCAGACAGTTCTGTGTTGAAGATTCTTGAGCGTGTCTCCTTGTGTGAACATTTCAGTGCCGTGCCCTTGGAGGATAGCCACAAGGTTCTGTCTGTATGCCGCACCCTTATTTTATTACAAAGATGCTTTCTGCCGTGGTAGTACCAAGCTGCTTGTCTACAGACCTTTATATATATTGCACCTACCCAACAAATGAGCTAAGCAGGCCTTGCTATCGTTTTTTCAGAGGCAAGGGAACGAGCTCAAAGGAAGGTGGCCGTTTGTAGCAGGTCACAGAGTGTTAAGTAGCAGAACCAGATCTGATGGAGCCAACAGCTTCTTCTCCATTACAGTATAAAGTTCTTACCGAGCCAGAGTCTAAGGGAGGGTGGTCATCCAAAGGCCAAGAAGATGAGTTGTGGTTCAGGCTCCGGGAGCAGAGGTCTCAGGGTCCTGGCTGGGAGTAGTCCTGGCGGGCAGATGCCTGGCTGCAGGGTGTGATGGGTGAGGAAGAAGAGGCAGCCTGGCGAAGAGCAGGGTCAGGATGGGCAGTACAGAGTGGGGTGAAATGAGCAGGCTGTATGATCTACTGGAGTGAACTCTTCAGCCATTGGTTGTCTGACTTGTTCCCTGGACTCCGCTCCATGAGACACAGTGGTAAGACATGGTCTGTCTCCGACTAGACAGTCCCATTCCAAACAAGGCTCTGGCCCACAGATACATGTCCTAGGGTCTAGCTATGGGGAAACAGATGAGTTTCCTAGGAAGGTGAAGAGTCGTGGGAAGAAGTTACGTGCTGGGGTGAGAGCCTGGCTCCCAGCAGGGCTGGATCTGCCTCCTTCCCTACCTCTGTCTCCTGGCTCAAGCGAAAAGTGAAAGCAGTGGTCTAGCCTGCAGCTCCCTCCACCCACCCCCACTTCCTCTCTGTCCCACTCCTAGGCCTCCCAGGATGACTACTAGCAAATGTATTCTGGGAAATTAAGAGACCCGCTAACAGTGACCTTCCTCCTCTGTCCACAGACAATCTGATCAAAGCCATCTTGTCCGTCACCAAAGAGTACCGCCTGACCCCTGCCTTGGACAGGTGAGCCCACCCCCTTCCCCTGGCTCTCCAGCACGAGCAGAGGTGCTGTGGCCCCGAAGCTCTTGGCCGGGTTTGGACAGGTGCTCTCCATGCCTCCCCATGCATACAACAGTACACACGCGGCGGGTAGAGTGTGTGAGCCGGACGGCTCTTCTGGACGGGCACCTGCTGAGTACAGCACTTGGCAAGGCTTCTCAGTCCTCAGACATGCGGGTTTGGGAACAAGAACTGAAGGTGATGAGGTGCCGACAGAGGCAGCCGACGGGGACAGAGCTTGAGTCGGAGGTAACGACAGCTCTGAAGCCCTGGAGGGAAAGCCTCGGGTCAGGGTAGGAGACAGGACACCAAGTGAGCAAGGCCGTCAGTGGCTATGGGAGCCTAGAGGCTTGAGTCGAAATTAAGCCCAGCCGTAAGTCCTGAAGCGCCCAGCTTCGTTTCCCTGCCCTTCCTCTTCCGAGAGATCTCCAAGCTTCCCTCGCCGTTCCCTGTCCTCTAAGGCCACCAAGCCTCCCCTACCTCTGCCCAGAACCCAGTCTTACCAGAGCCCCCCTCCTTGCTTCCTGGGCCGCTCCCCAAACCTCCCCTGTGTTTCCCTTAGAAGTGTCGAGTGTCCCAGGGTCCAGCTCCCGAGGAGTGGCACTGGCCTCCTCCCGGAAGTGCTGCATGGACCTGACCAAAGTCGGGGGCGGGGGGACCCACCTTCACAGACCTCTGCTCTCTCCCCCCAGCCTCCACTGCCGCCGCTGCATCATTGTAGGCAACGGAGGGGTCCTTGCCAACAAGTCCCTGGGGTCACAAATTGACGACTATGACATCGTGGTCAGGTGAGCTCCCCTGAACAACACCCGGGCACATGCATGCTGTGGACCAAATCCTGAGCCCTGCCTGCGCCCTGAGAACTGTCTCTGCCGTCCGGTCACCTAGCCTGAGGGTTAACAGAAGCCTCAAGAATGCTGCTGGGTTGGCAGGTTTTAAAATGAACGAGTAGGTGGCCCGGATTCCTATTCTGCACCCCGGGGTGTTTGGGGTTCAGGGTACCTCCCCGGACACAGGCCCAAGGCCAGCTCTGACTCCGCTGGCTCTTTGTAGACTGAATTCAGCGCCCGTGAAGGGCTTTGAGAGGGACGTGGGCAGCAAGACCACCCTGCGCATCACCTACCCCGAGGGTGCCATGCAGCGGCCTGAGCAGTATGAACGGGACTCTCTCTTTGTCCTCGCCGGCTTCAAGTGGCAGGACTTCAAATGGCTCAAGTACATCGTCTACAAGGAGAGAGTGGTGAGCACCTACTGCAAGCATCCCAGGCAGTCCCTCCCCCTGGACCCCACAAAGAACAAATAGGAAACTTCAAAATGACCCGAAGCTAAAAGGCAGCAAATCCAGCAAGGGACAGAGGCCAAACGATGCCAGGGTGCGTAACGGGCTCCTGGAGCTGAAATGCCTGCTTTCTGCTGCCTGCCTCCAGATAGCCAGGGCCTGGTGATCCCAGGGAGGCAAAGCTCTGGTCCCTGTGGCCAGCCCCAGTGTGACTCGCGGCTTTGACAGGCTCATGCCCTGGTCTGTAGCTACCTCCCTGGCCCCACTTGCCTTCCACAAGGCCGTTCTGACTGCTCTTATGGCCTTACCTCATTCTCAACAGAGAAAGAAAGCCTTCTAGGGACCCTGGGGCCATTCTGCAGGGACAGGGGATCTCAGGGCAAGGGTTCTAGCTCCCAAACGCATGAATCCAGACCATTTTCGGCCTCAGATTTTCAGTGCTAGCCTGTAGGTTGATCTCCAGCCTGCCACTAAGTCTGGTTCTTCTCTTTGGGTGTGGTCAGATTCTGTGCTGACTGCTCTAAGATGGCTAGGATCTGGGCCCGTGTGTTTAGGGAGTGTTTGTGGTAGCGTAGGGTCAGATTGCCCATTTGTAGACCACCGACTGGGGCCGCTCCTGAGACCTGTTTCCCAGTTCTGGGCCTGTAGGGACACCTGCCAACTTGTCTGAGTCTGTCTCCCACTCCCAACCCTCATCTCCTCCCCTCCAGCTGTCATCCGTCACCTGGGGGAGGGGTGTGCAGGGCTCAGGCCACTCATCTCCCAGTGCCCAAGCCTCTTCCTGGAGACCGATGACAGTTGCCCTCTGCCTTCAGTAAGGAGCTAGCTGTCCCTTTAGATTTAGAAGTTGGGGGTGAGAACAGCTTAGCTTGCCTGTGAGGGTCTCAGTGCAATTTGGTTTGACTCCACAGCCCCTTCCAAGCAAGGCCAAGTTCAGGCAGTATCAAGTAGATAGCAAGCAGGAGCGAAGACAGAAGTCAGGTTCAGAAGCTCAGGTAGGTGGGGCAGCGGTGACGGGAGCCCGACTCAGAGCCAGGAGGCAGCTGGCTGTGCTGGGTGCAGCCCGGGTTTCCAAAGAGAAGGAAAGGACAAAGAAGCAGGTGATCGGTCTGGCGTCAAGCAAGCCTCTTGTCTACCAGACTAGGGAGGAATGGGGCTGGGGAGGCCCCTTCTCTTTTCAGAATCCCTATAGCCTTTCTATTTGCCTTAAGGTAACAGGCAAACATTTCAGAGGGAGACATGGGAGTGAACTGGACCTGCCTTGGTGAACCCTTCTCATATAATGCCCTCTGCTCATCAGCCCACATGCTCTTGGCCTGTAGACACCTATCAAAGCTTTCATGGCTTTCCCAGGGCAGGAGAGCCAGAGGGTAGGGCCCTGACCCCATAGGGTTTTCCCTCCATGGTGCCCATTCACTGCACATGATCTGGAATTAGCTTAAACCAGTTCCTGCTTCCTGAGGGCCAGTGTGGGAGATGTGAGGCAGTCCAGATTCCTTGGGGACAGCAGACCAGAGATGCATGTGGTCACCTCTGCCTCCGAGAGCACCAAGGTCAGTGGAGTCAAAGCTCGTCCTGTCTCCCCAAGGCAGGCAGGAGAGTCAGTGGAAGTGGGGGAGCTGCTCCCAAGAAGACCGAGGAGCTCGCCACTTGGTCTGGTGGCCTGGCCTTGGCAGCCAGTAGGTCAAGATCCTGACACAGTGAGTGAGGCACTGTGAGGTACGATCAGGGCCTCGATCAACCCCGTCCTGGGCACACATGGCCAGCCTGTGTCAGGGAGAACACCTTCTGAGTGTGATGGGGAGAGGGAGGATGACAAGGAGTCTTCTGAAGACCTGCGGGCTTTCTGTGGTACCACAGTCAAGGGTGGCTCTGGACTTCTGAATAACCCACCAGTAACAGCAGTGATATCAATGCCTTCTCAACACCCCAAGAGTCTTAGTAAGTGTTGTGTTTGCTGTGAAGGGGCACCATGATCATGGCAACTCTTATAAAAGAAAGCATCTAATTGGGACTTGTTCACAGTTTCAGAGGTTTAGTCCATTATCATCATGATGGGAAGCATGGCAGCATGCAGGCAGACATGGTGCTGGAGAAGGAGCTGAGAGGTCTACATCCGGATCCGCAGGCAGCAGGAAGAGAGAGGGCTACTGGGCCTGCATTGGGCTTTTGAAACCTCAAAGCCCCACCCCCAGTAACACACTTCCTCCAACAAGGCCACACCTCCTAACCCTTTCAAAGAGTGCCACTCCCGATGACCAGTCTTTCAAATCTGTGAGCTTACAGAGGGCTGTTTTTATTCAAACCACCACATGAGGTGAACCTCCAGAGGCCCATTCTTGAGTGCCCCTTTCCCAAGCCTGAGGTCGGTGCCCTCCTGGGACATCTCTAGGCTGCTCATCACCTCCCTGGCCTCTAAGACCCAGGTAGGGTAGATGTGAATCAGGTTGCCCTTTCTAGTCCTCCTTCTGGGGCTCGACCTACTCCTGCGGTGATGTTTCTAGCTACTCAGCCTCCCGCTCCTAGCAAGCTCTGAACCTGTCTAGAGTTTCACCTGCAGAGTTCTGGCTGGAAATAGCTCTGCTCCGGGGTCAGGGCTGGCTGGGTAGGGCTGGAGCAGGTATGAGACTCAGACAGTTGCTGCCGGCTGCTGTGCTGCTTATGGCACATACCTGTCTGGTACCCAGGAGTCCTGGTGAACACTGGGAGCAGGGAGGATGTGGGAAAGGAAGATGGTTGATGGCTCTGCCCTTCCCCATGTGTGACCACTTGGTTCTCTAATACATTGGACGGTGGCCCAGATAGCTCCAAACTGATTACTAAAAGACCTTGTACCTCCCTGGTCCCAGGAGCCTTGATTAAGCCAGCAAGGACGTCTAATGGGCCTCCCAACAGACTGCGTGTCCAGCAAAGCGCTGGTGGGTACTGGAGGGAAGTAAGGCCGAGGAGGAGGGCGGAGCCTGGGAGAGGGAGAAGCAGCCAGTGGTTAAGTCTATAACGAGAGACGCAGCCCAGTAAAAAGCTCTTCTCAGGCGGACTGCGGCCTCCCCTGTGCCAGGCCAACCTGTTGGCCAGGCATTAGTGAGATACAAGGCCTGAGCCGGCCCCGGGACTTCAGAGACAAATTCAGTTCTGCTCTAGAACAGAAGCAGCTCACAGTCTAATGGGAGACACAATCCCCAAACTAGAATTATTGCTCAGTGCAGGGAGTGTCTTCTAAAGCAGCTGGGGCGGACAGGAAAGGCCAAGAGAAGGCCTCCCGGGAAACAATGGATGGGAAGGAAGAGCTAGGAGCGAGTCCGGCTTTCCAAACGAAAGGAACCATAAGTGTGGAGACCCCAGGAGGCCATGCTCCAAGTAGGACACTCTAAGACTGTATGGAAAATGCACATAGCCATTGATAAGTCAGAACATGAGGCCCGGGGTCCCAGACTCTCATTACCTGTCATTCAGTCCCTAGATGAAGACTGGAGAGGACAGGACATGTGAAGGACAGGGCACCTCTTCTGGTCACTCAGGCCCCACCTTGTGCATCTGCCAGCCTTCCCAGTTGTGCCCCAGGATGCTGGGTGGCCCAGGGTTCCAGAGCGCCTGTGTGGCCTTTTCTTCCTTCCCCATCAGTTTCCCACCGACGCTGGGAAGCTGACATCTACTGAGAAGCCCCTGTCTGGACTGGGCCAGTGAAGCTGTGGGCCCAACATGCAGAGGGAAGAGAAAGAATAAGGCTTGAGGTAGCCCTTGGACAGTCACCACAGGCTGGACCATACAGCGGTACATTCTTTCCCTGGGGAAGGAGGGGGGGAGGTTTAAAAGGCCAGCCAGGGTCCCACATTCATACTCAAGAGGTGACCTCTCTTTGTCTGTCTGTCTGTCTGTCTGTCTGTTTGTTTGTTTGTTTGTTTGAGGTAGGCTGGCCTGGAGCTCACTTTGTAGCCCAGGCTTGCCTTAAACTCAGGGCAATCCTTCTGCCTCTTTCTCCCAAGCGTTGGGATTATAGATGTAAGTCACCATGCTCAGCTGATGTTTTTAAAAATGAAGATGAAATAGAGATGAAACCTAGCACAAAACATTGGAGTAAGTTCCCAGCCGCAGGCAGTTCCTAGAGTTTGTTTTCATGGGACGAGGTTCACTCTGTAGCCCTGGCTGGGCTCAAACGGTTGCCGGTGTTCTGGCCACAGCCTCCCGAGTGCTGAGACCCCAGCCCTCCGGCTTTCTTGGAGGTTATTTTTGACTGGTGGTTGCTGTTAGAAGAGACCCCCTTGCAGGAGAAAGTGAAGTGTTTTTCTGTCTAGGCTGTGGGGTCTGGCCTAGACAGTGAGTCAGAAAGAGGAGTCAGAGGCCAGGTCCAGAGGCGAGGAAACCCCGTAGGACAGCGGCAGATCAGAGCGGGAGAGTAGGCTGGGAACTGTCCAGGGCAGGCAGGGCCATCAGGTCTCCGAGTACGAGGCCTTGCTGGACAGGGTCAAGTTGGGGTTGGATGTTATCTATACTAGAGTCTCTACTCTGTTCTGACCTGAGAGAACGTTGCTCAGGGGAAGCTGGATGGGGTGCCACTTTACTTCTGGGAGACACAGGGTAGGCCTTCCACGTGGCCCACCTGGAGAACAAGCGGTCACAGACTCCTCTCCAGGCCTCTGCCAGGAGCCTGTGCTAACCGTTTTCTTTGCAGGCCAGCACCAGCCGCCATACTGTTACCCCAGGCACTCTTCCATGTAGGAGTCAAAGGCCTTTCTCCTCCCGGCCTTGCTGCTCCCCATTGCTTGCTCTGCAGCAGATTCCAGTGCTCGGGCGCCAGACTGCTCTTCGCTGCTTCTGCTTTTCATCATTACTCACTCCCTTCTGTGCCCTGTTGCTTCTTTTCCTTCTCTTTCTTTTCCCATCATATCACCATCATCATCGTCATCATCAAAGCCCTCAGTTCCCAGCTCCCTTGAATCCGTTAATTCGGTTCTCCTAATAACCCTGTTAGACAGGTACTGTTACCATCCTCAGTGTTGAGCCGAGCAAACCAAGGCACTGAGACAATGAAGTACTTGGTTGTGGTAATGCAGCTAGTTAAGTGGTAGCTAGAATTGGGTGTAAAACCCACACCGGACTGCCCTGTCCACAAACCTTCCTGCCTAGAACCCTCCATTTCAGCCCCTTCCTTCCATGGCCTCGGAGACCCCTGCTTACTGAGTTCTCGCTCATCACAGGCCCCAGGGATGCCTGCCTCCCAGCTGCTGGCTGGCTGGCTGCGGCAGGCACTGTAAGCGGTAGTGCCACTAAGTGGTAGCGCCGTGTTGTGAGTCAGAGCTGTGTCATTGTGACTCTTCACTACGGCCTTTCTTGTTTACTCCATTATGTGCATTCATTCAAAGTCAGACCCGTCACCAAAGCCATGCCAAGCTCTCGGCTGCCATCCTCATCCCGTTTTCTTGACAACACTACCACACCCCTTTCTCCGCATCCAGTCAGCCCAGTACCAGGGACTGAATGGCACAGCAGAGACAGAAACTGAGGCCAGGGTTGTAATGTCACTGTGCCAGCACCCTGTCCCTAGTTGTCGATCAAATGCTCTGACTCACCACCTGCAGATCTATCTCCTGGACCTGTGTGTGTCGCAGGGAGAAATCTCCCATCCATCATGCAGGGCAGATAAAGGCCACCATCAGTGAACTTCCCAGCCTCCAGTCCACACATGTGTATTAGTTACTTTCCTATTGCTGTGCTGAAACACCGTGACTGTGGCAACTTACAGAAGGAAGGGCTTACTGGTGCGTCCGGTTCCAGAGGGCTAGGAGTCCATCATGGCAGGAGATCGTGACAGTGGACAGCAGCCAAGGAACATCTGAGAGCTCATCCCCCTAACCACAACCAGGAAGCAGAGAGTATACTAGAGGTGTTTTGAGGCTTTTAAAGCCCAAGGCCCACCCCCAGTGATACACCTCCTCCAGCAAGGCCACGCCTCCTAAGCCTGCCCAAACAGCTCCACCCACTGGGGACCGACCAGGTA